GGGGCGGGATGAAGGAAAAAGGAAAGAAATGTTATTTTGATGGGTGAGGTCTGCTTTACCTTCCCTGAGCTGGTCCATCACCCTAATCCACCACCAAAACCAGCCAAAGTCCTGTGTCAAATTTGATTTTCTGAGAAAGGCTGATTCCTACCCCCCACTTTTGTACAGTAACTGGGCCTGGTAACTGCAATATCAGGCACTGAGCAATGCATTAAAGAGAGTCGGGGAGAGTGCCATGTGTTACCCCATATTTCTCCAGGCTCTGAAGGCAATGGATGGGAGTGTGGGCAACCTAAGTACTGACTTACAATGTCTCCTCTAAAGAGAATCTTTTACTTCGAAAGTAAAGGATCCCATAGGAAAGCAACTGAATGCTTTATTTTTGCCCAACAATGTGCAGGACACAAAGCCGGTATTTGCTAAGGAGCTTTGGCATAGCATTGGGCACCCTGGGGGAAGGGGGTTACCATTTAAAAATAAAGGAATGTTTTCTGGAATGTCTGGTAATGTTATTTTAGCATATTAAAAGCCATGACAGGTTTACTTTAAGTCAACATCCTGCCTTTTTAATTAGACCAAATCTCTTCTTTACTAGTAAACAATTTAATCTGTGAGCTATAAATGCACATTGTCTGAACTCTGGCACCTGGAGCCGGTAGGCATGCACTTCCTCATACTTCTATAATTTAAGCAGGTAACGCACAGCGAATGACGTTCGCGGCGGTTTATGTACACTATTTTTTTTAAATAAAGCGGCTATTCCGAGTTCCAAAGAAACATGAATTTCTGCAATGTCTGCCCAGAGTCCCCCCAGGCAGTAGATGGCATATGTCACAGGACAAGGTGATACACAGTAATGTAAACACAGCAGTATATCTTCTCCAGCCCTTCACCCATGACAGAATTATGAGCCTGACATTTGGAAGAAAACTGAAACCGTGCAGAATTTATGAGAACATTTACAGAAGAATCCCTACAAACTGAATCTGACAATAGAGTTACATCATTTGCAATAATCTGAGCCGGGGCACTCATTTAGCCATTTCGAAAAAAGGAGAGAACATTCTTTAGGCACGGTAAATAACTTTTTTAGAGCAACTGTCGTAACAAAGAATGGAAGCGGCCATTTCCTTAGGCTGATGTCATATTTAGAAGACTAGATCTTGTCAGTTTAGTAGAAATATGACTGGAAATATTTTACAGGTATGTTCAGGAAGGGAGAACTTGCAGAAATGACAATATGCAAAGTGCAGGGGACTACCAAAGCCAAACAGATTTCAGAATGCTGTTAGATTGTCAATAGATCATTTTCGATGTGTTGCGAATAAAAAATGTATTTACACACTGGGCCCCTTTATTACTGCATATTACGCATGCATACTGTGCTTTCTATCTAGACAGCACATTAATGCCTGTATGTTTGGCGATAACCACTGATAGAAGCCAGTATTGCCAGATTGGATTGACCAATGGCTTTCTCATTGGGGGCTGGTGGCGTAAGAACGGCAACTTATATCATTTGTAATAACTGCTAATCCTGCAATGAATGTCCTTGCTCCTGCACTTCTTGTTATATGGTAACATTGGTCTGTTCCTCCTTCCCAATTATGCTCCTGAGCTGTCACAAGGAATTCCAGTGAAGGCCACATTTGGCCATATCAACATATATTTTGCGGGTCTGATCGACTGTTGTAATTATCAGAAATCCACCCAGAGAAATGCCATGCAGCCATTGCTGAAGTGCATGTAGACAAGAAGTGGCTGCAACGATTGCAGAAGATTGCTATCATTGATATGTAATAAAGGAAAAGATGTGCTCAAACATAGTATATGCTTAACAGTTTGCTTCTTTTTTATTTATAGAATACAATTTTCCTCATTTTTATTCCATCTTTTTTATCTTAATGCTGCTTTTCCTCTCCTGCTTTTCTCAGCCACTTCCTGTCTACATGCACTCGCTCCAGCTGCACATCATTGCTCCGGACTGGATTTCTGAGAGTGACGACGATGGGCCATGCCTGCACAAGAAAGAATGTCATGGCCACTTGTAGCCTACTCCAGAATGCATGTTATAGGGTGACAATGTAGGAGCAAAACTGAGGGACACCAGTTGTCACCCCATAAAAGCAACATGGACCTTAATGGCAAGATCACCAGGTATTATTCTTAAGACAACTGCAGAATCAAACAATGAAAATGTTTACCCTAATGTGTTAATGTTTAACTATGTGATTGGGTTTAGTTATACTTTACGAATAAGCAGACAACTCTATACAGGGTCAGTAGGAATGTATTTCCTCGTGCACCGTGCTGTGTTACTATCTCTGCTTCCTGCATCATTCATCACATTCAAAATTCCAAGACAACTCTGAATCTGATTGGTAGCTGTAATATACTTCTTAGTTCTGATATTTAGTTTTTTACATGTGTCTGTAAAGCTGGCCATACACCTTACAATTATCTGCAGATTTTGTATGGTCAGATGGAAAAGGTGCAACAGATTCCTCCATCTACACTAAACTGTGTGGATGGAGTAATCTCCACCTGGGCCAATCTGTTGCACTTTTTCCATCTGACCACAGAAAATCTGCAGATAATTGTAAGGTGTATGGGCACCTTAAGAGGCATAAAGGAGGATGCTCAATCATCACCAGCAGGTGTGTTCCATCATTAACAGAGGGTGTGTTCCAGTGTCACCAACAGGTGGACTCCATCATACCCAGCATGTGTTTTTAATGAGAAGGTGTGTTCTATCATTACTAGCAGGTGTATTCTAGCATCACCAACAGATGTGTTCTAGCATCACCAACTGGTGTGTTCTAGCATCACCAACTGGTGTGTTCTAGCATCACCAACTGGTGTGTTCTAGCATCACCAACAGGTATATTCTAGCATCACCAACAATTGTGTTCTAGCATCACCAACAATTGTGTTCTAGCATCACCAACAATTGTGTTCTAGCATCACCAACAGGTGTATTCTAGCATCACCAACAGATGTGTTCTAGCATCACCAACAGATGTGTTCTAGCATCACAAGGTGTA